TCTGCACAATGTTCAAGTAACTTATTATAAGATCCAAGGAGAGAATATAAAATCTCCTTCTCTGAAGGTCTTTAAAAATAGAATAAGTTCTCAACAGGTTGTCTGAAGGCAAGGAGTTGACTTAATGACTTTAATGGGTCTTTTCAGCCCTTTGATCCCTGGGATAGTAAAAGTTTTCAGAAAGTAGATATGCTATATAAGCTATACATGCTGTATAAAACTATCAAATGAGCTTCCTATTTGAAGGTCAACTGTGGCATCTTGAATTTAAAGTCTTTTTAGACATTTGCGAAATTTTAAGATACTTTATATTCTCATCTTAAATGTTACCTTCTTCCTCCACTAGTCCTTTGAAAATTGAGTCCCCAAAAGGTTGGTTTGAAAATGACATGTGTTTGGTATTGTATTTGTTTGTGTCTTTGGATTTGAGTTGGAGTAAATGAAGAATTAATGTGGGGTAGGAGATGATAGCTCTGAAATAGAAGTCAAGAGCTTTGATTCTTGTCCTAGCTTTCCTATTTGTGGGCTCCATTATTTTAGCTCATTTAACTTTTTAAAGAAGTCACTTCCTCATCAGTAAAACAAGGATATTTTGCCCCATAATACCTTCAATTAAAAAAATCCTATGCTTCTATAAAAGTCAGAGTTTCGGCAGAAAAGTCTCAGAAGCAGTGGGAAGTAAGGGAAGAAAACAAGTATTAGCAAAGACATTGTGGACATATGAGACCAGCTGCTCCTCTTTAAAAATGCTTACCCTCGAGCTTCCCTGGTGGCGCAGTGGTTGAGAGTCCGCCTGCCGATGCAGGGGACGCGGGTTCGTGCCCCTGTCTGGGAGGATCCCACGTGCCGCGGAGCGGCTGGGCCCGTGAGCCATGGCCGCTGAGCCTGCGCGTCCGGAGCCTGTGCTCCGCAACGGGAGAGGCCACAACAGTGAGAGGCCCGCGTACCGCCAAAAACAAAAAACAAAACAAAACAAAAAAACACAAAAAAACAAAAATGCTCACCCTCTCCTTTTCTCTTTCATATTGCATACCATAGGTCATGATGCCCTGACTTCTACTACAATTCATTGTATTCAATTCAGTAAATATTGTTTGAGCACTAATATGTATTATACCCAAGGCTCACCTCGTTATTCCACTGTGGATTCAGGCCTTTTAAAGTAATATGAATTTAGAATTTGACTGTCTCTGAAGAGGGTATACAAAGCAAGATGTGTGTCCTTGTTTACACTTTGGTCAAAAATGGTCAATACTTAATGGGGTGGGTCAACAAAAAACATGAAAACAGAGTAAGATCAAACATATGACGGAAGTGAATAATTTAAAAAGTAATCAGAGGATAAGTGGACAGAAATAGATTTGACATCTTCATCATCAGAGACTATGTCCTGCATCACTGGATAGAAATTTTCTAACACTGAGCTAAGACCTTTGGTTCCTATTTAAAAGATTTGTTTAAATTTTACTCAGGTGCCTCAGGTGTTTGAATCTGCAGGACATGTATGGATTTCCGGTCTATTGTCACTCCCTTTTTAAAATCTTGGTCTTCTGGCAAACAGATATATTACCTCTTGGGAAGTGTGACCTTGCTTGTTATGAAGTCAGTGGGCTGCAGAGTTCTCTGTGTTCTGTTTGGCCGTCAAAGCCTTGGGCTTTGGTTTCCATGGAGAGTTAATTCTACCTCTGCTCCTACAAAGCTAAGAAAGCATAGAACTTTTCCTGGCTGAAACGCTACCATCCATTTGCTTTAGGTTTTAGGAAAATTCAAATACAAAACATAACCATAGAACATTATTTTTCTAACGTGGCCCAGTGTTGAAGTAATTATTAAAATGTGTCAGGTGGAGGCAATTCATGAGTTTATCTTTGGTACTTCTGTTGTATGCCTCCCTTCTATCTTTCTTAACTCTCTTCGTCCTATCTGATTTTTCCTCTCAGGCATCCAGCATGCTCTCTGTCACTATTCTTCACAGACATTAAACCTACTATCAGAAAGAAAATTTCATATCAGCTCTTTATGGCTTAGTGTGAATTGAGGATAGGGTTTTCCCTCTCCTGGGGGTATTTGCATTGTGAACCTTAGAGTTGAGGGAAAGTCCTTCCTAATGGAATGTCAGCAAGGACTTTCCAGCACCTTTAAGACACCAAAAGCTGTACTTTTAAACTTGAGTTGGACCTGCAGCTGGGCCTATATTAGCACTAATTCCTCCTTACCCTCTAGTTAAATTGAGTCCAGTGACTCAAGTAAACAGGAGTGTGGGTGCCGACCCCAAATTCTAACAATATTTGAGTCACAGAATTCGTTTGCAAAGTTAGAGCCACTTTTCTTTTCCTTGTTCCCTATTTATTCCTACTACTCAATTTGTCTTATGTCTGCCTGCCTTGTTAGACTGGAGCCCTTCCAGGACAGAGACCACATTTTACTCACCTCTGGATCTCTAGGCCCAGCACCGTGTCTGGCTCATTGAAAACCCTTCCAGGCAAGTAGTTAGATTCCTGCAATTCAAATCTGCCAAGAGCTGTGTTTCCCTAAAATGGCATGCCCAGTTCTCCTGCACCAAGGGTCTTTCCCCTGATTTCATAGAATACCCACACTGAAGGAAAAGTCTAAACCAGCCTGCCACAGGACAAACTCTACCCAACCCAAAACAGTTGTGGGGTATTTCAGAGCCTACTGGGAACCAGAGATAGAAGAATTGCCTCTGGATCGAGTCTTGGGGACATTCCATTCTTCATGGTTCTAGAATGGAAGAGCCTTTATAGAACAGAAGGGAAAAAAAAAAAAAACCCTGGTTTTATTTCGGCAGTGCATGATGCCAGGTATTTACTAGAGCAACTGCCACCCAAGGCCCAGAGGGTTAGCTGGAGCAGCTGATACCCTGTGCTGCTTTTTATAACTCTCCTTCCCAGCACCATGCTCTATATATGTCCCATTTCATCAGGTCACATCAACTTAGGTTGTGCCCAATACTGCATCTTACACCAAATGCATCACCATGTGGAATATTCTGTGTTTCCTTAAAAATTTTTATAAAAATAAATGTAAAGTTTCTTAAAAATAAAGTGGGGGAAGTTTCCCTGGTTCTTTGTGGAAGCGGTGACTTTGCCACTTTTTACAAATGAGCAGCCTCTTTCCTTCCAAAAGACGTTGCAGCTATCTGCCACCAGCAAGCTGTGAAATTACTAGGTTAAGAATGGAATCTACAGTACAGACCTAAATTGTATATAGAGTTGTGAAATGCAGTTTTGGTGGTGGTGAGTCTGCAAACTTGTGAAAATCATTTGCAAAGGCACTAGCTGCCTCTTTTTTTGTTGTTGTTGGTAATAAGATTGGAGAGAAAGGGGGATTCTCTAAAGAATCTTTAACATGTCAATATTTACTCAATGCATTCGATTTCTCTCATATACAATACACTGTCTTGGCCCTTTGGGAGGGGTTACAAAAGATGAAAAATCCGAATATCTTGGCTTTAAAGAGTTTATTATTTAGAAAGAATGTTAACTTAAAAATGCAAACAGCCATCATTTCATTTATTGAGAACATACTCTGTGTCATGAACTGTGGCAAGTATTTTTATTTACTCTATATCAGGGGTTGGCAAACTATGGCCAAAGAGCTAAATCTAGTCCACCACCTGTCTTTCTAAATAAAGTTTTATTGAAACATGGCCACACCTAATTGTTTGAGTATTGTTTATGGCTGTTTTGTGCTATAATGGCAGAGTTGAGTAGCTCTGACAGAGTTGAGACAGTCTGACTGGCAAAGCTAAAATACTTTCCATCTGCCCTTTACAGAAAATATTTGCTGACCTCTGCTGTATATAATTCATTCTCACAAGAATACTCTGAGTTAAATATGGTGTTTCCCATTTTCCAATTAAGGTAACTGAAGGTTATAGCTTATGTAACTTAGTAAGTGGCAAAGCTTCAGTTTAATTCTAGGTTTGTCTGATTCCAAAAGTCTATGTTCTTATGCTATATTTGTGTACAGAAGTAGCCAAAATATGGGATAGGAAGAAGTCAGAGACTTACAGATTCACAGAGAAACTATTATGAGAGTTCCTAAAAGGGAGTGATTATTTTGATTGTAGGGTGATATTCTGGAGAATATTCTGGTGAAGATCATATTTGAATAAAAAAGCAAAAATGCATCTGAGAAATTTTCTATCCCAAGCTCAAGCCCAAGAAATGTTAACAGATCAAGATCACATGTTTAGTTAGAAGTAGATCTGGGCTTAGAACCAGTTTTCCGTTCACTGAGCTCAAAGTATGCTGTCAGTGACGATACTGAGCCATTGAATCTTTGTGTGTGTATGTGTGTGTGTGTATGTGTGTGTTTAAATGCTATAGAATGGCATAATTATTTGAAATGAGAATTTGTATGTTATGCTCAGTGGTAATTGAACTAAAGGGCCTGCACTTCCTTTATTGAACCAATCAAAAACATATTTATGGGGCTTCCCTGGTGGCGCAGTGATTGAGAATCCGCCTGCCAATGCAAGGGACACAGGTTTGATCCCTGGTCCGGGAAGATCCCACATGCCATGGAGCAACTAAGCCCGTGAGCCACAACTACTGAGCCTGCGCTCTAGAGCCTGTGCTTTGCAACAAGAGAAGCCACCGCAATGAGAAGTCCGCACACCGCAAAGAAGAGTACCCCCGGCTCACCGCACCTAGAGAAAGCCCGTGCACAGCACCGAAGACCCAACGCAGCCAAAAATAAATAAATAAAACAAACAAATAAATAAAAACATGTTTGTGCAGATATTTATATGATACCATCTCCTACCCACCATCCTACCAAATATATTTTGGTTATGGAGAATTACACTTCTGAGACCATGGGAACCACTGGCACTCTCACCAACTTTAAGTTTAAATAATAAACAAGAGACCACAAAGGATAATATTCATATACATCTTGCCCTGCAGAACCATGCAGCTCTAGGTCAGGAGAAAAATGGAGAAGGGAGCAGGGGGCAGCCGAAGGAAGCTTACCTGATACTGTAGAGCACTTTGCCATTTTTTGAAATGCGAAGCAACTTGTTGTCGGTGGTGACATCATGGAAGTTGGCCCCCTTCTCATTGGCAAAGAACAAATCTGGTTTCCAAATGGAGTCCAGCATCGATGGGTCCAAGTCCAGAGAATCATCAGGGTACTCGCTATAAGCCAGCCGTGAATCATTCCACTGTTGTCTCAGAAAAATATTCACTCGGTAGTCCTACAGAAACGCCATGCAGAAGCGTTACTTCTTGCCCACTCTGGCATATTTTCCCCTCACTCTTCTGCCTGATTCGATGCATGCAGTGTTGGTATCTGAGTAAACCCAGCTGTGTATATCTTGGTCAAAATAAACCACTCAATTCTGTTAGGAGTGGGAACAGAGACGAGAAGGAAAGAAGACTTGACCAAAGCAGAACACTAATGGAACAAGTTGAGCTGGTTGAATTTTTGTTTCACTTAATCGTTCTGGGAGGAAATAATACTAACTCAATCTGATTTTGCTGTAGAAAAAGGTAATGATAAGTACAGGAGTCAGTCTGTGATAGCAGATTGTCAAATAAAACCTATTCATTTTCCAAATCAGGAATGACATGATCTCTATTTTCAATCTGCTCAGATGCTCTGGGCAGAAGAAAACCCACTCTGTAATTTTGGTAGTAGAAATCTTATCATAAAACTCTGACATGATGGGCCAATATTTTTTAAATTCATTAACATAAATATTAAGATGGTTCATGTTGACAAGATAATTCCCTTACAGCTACTTTTGAAATTCTTAAATATTTTATCATTTCTCTGAATAGGTTGTATCTACAGTAGTCAACTGGAGATTTCAAAACAGAAATCTTTTTCATGTTTTCCTAATCTGAGCACCTTTTGATAAAGGTGTTCCTCCCTGTGGGAGCCTCAGGTACACCCTGTCATTCCCACTTGGCATGGGAATTTTCTTCTGTGCTAATGAATCAGCTTGGGACAGTAACTTCTCTTCAGAGGATTTCTACTCAAAGGTCTTTAGGTTCATGGAAACTGTTGCTTCGCTTGACAGAGCAGACCCAATAAAGGCTTCAACAGTATTCCCTAGTCAAGCAGGACTATGGTTCAGAGCTAACAGTGGTCCACATCTGCCACTGTGGTCATTTAGGGTGATATATACTCATCCCATTTTACTCTCTTTCCTTTACCTTTTTCACCTTCATTTGCTTTGTTTCCACATCTTTGTTTGGGCACCTGGATTTTGAGTCATTGTTTACTTTTCTCTAACAGTGACCAACATGTCCTTGGTTTGCCTGAGAACTTTCCCATTTTAGCCTCAGGTAAACATGAAATTTTCAGGGAACCCACTCAGTCCTAGGCAAAACTCAGATGGTTGGTTACTCTATAAGGTACAATGGAGACCACCTCGGGTTGGTCGGTTTTGGTTAATCCCTTTAGAGCCAAAAGAAAATCTGTAAGTAAGTTATAAAGATCAGGGTGTATGGAAGAGAGCTTCAAATCCAGTTCCTTCTGCTTATTACCAAACTCTCCAAATTCCCATGACTTTGCCCCCCAAATACAGCCATCCTGATGATCAGGCTGGTAGAGTATTTTGGAAGTGGCAGTTCTTAGAAAGAGTGCCCACTGTGGGTTTAAAGAATGCTAATAATCAAGTAGTTACTAACTTCTGAAAATCAGTCATCAGAACCCAGCTTATTAGGAAAAGCTGAAATATTAAAAGAAATAACTGTACGTTTCCTTGTTGTACAACATAAGGACTTTCTGACTTGGAAAATTTTATCAGCTGACTTTTATTTGGGATTATACCAGGCTTGCACAGCAAATTCCCAGACCTAAGAGGGTGCTCTTGTGAGGCCAGCCAGGCTTCCATCCCATTCTGTTTGCTCACTGGCTGCCCCCTCCTTCCATGAGTGAGCCAAGAGGATGGCAGAACCTCAAAGTTCTCCCCATCACATATTTTGCATTTTGGGGATTGTCCAAAGGGACCAGAGGGTAGTAACTGGAAAGAGATTACCAGTTCAGTGTTTCACTGGCAACAGGAGTGACTGGAACCTTTGGAGTTTTGTGTGAGTAAAGAGTGGGAATGTGTGATTTGTAGAAAATCAAAACAGGGGCTATTGAAAATATAATAGTCCAATTTGCGTATAAATAGGCACTGGATAGATCAACTGTGAGATTTTCTTAAGGTTTCCTGAAGGAAAAAAATGCAGTGTCTTCACTGTGTGACATCTACCCCTTTTATTTCCCTTAGGGTGGGAACCAATTATCCTTCATAAAATTTTGTGTGGGGGCGTCTATGAGCTTGTTTCAGTAGGAAAGAAGAGGACATCATCTCTTAGCCAATTCTGGAGGTAGAAAAACTCTAAGTACAAGAAGTAATGACAGCTGGAAATAACAGAGGTGAATGGGTTAAATTTCTTAGGCCATTGGGAGGCCACTGAGGCCCCCCACCCAGGAAGGAAACATAGAATGGGAGAGGCCATGAGACGCCAGATAGCGAGCACTGGGCGGCAGAATCACCAGGACAACATCATTGCAGTCCTCCTTTGAACCTGAGAATGATTTAAAGATGCATTTTGAGAGACTCTAGAGAATATTACATTGGTGACATACAATATGAAAACATTGACCTTTTAAAAAAAAATCTCAATATAAAATTTCCCAGCTAATGTATTAATACATCTTTTTAAAAAGTCTTTCCCACAAGTATTCTTCTCCAGTGTTTCCTGCTTTTCTATTTTGAATTTTATCTATTTAAAATAATAAAATAGGTTCTCCCAATATCAGAACTTTAAAAAGAGCACTGAATCTATCTTATCACAACAGAACCATTAAATATCTAACAGTTAATTTAAAATAAATTAATTAGCCTATTCATAAGCAAGAATAAGTGGAAAAGTTAGAGGAGAAAATACATTTTACTCCACAATGACAGGAATTATATGAAACAAGACTTTTATTAGATATTTTGGGAGTGTTTGTTCTTTATAATGTATAGGAATTAAAATTTTCCATAATTTTTTTCATGATGCTATACATTATTCCAAAATAAATGGCAACCCTTAAAACCTTTAAGAATAGAAAAGGACGCCCAAGGATATAGAGAAGTAGATAGCCAAAGAAAAGATTTTCCAGGGCTGTGCCTCTGTAATTCTTTCAGTTCACTATCATTTTCAATGTAGGGTACAAATTTGATGCATGATTTATCTATGCATCACCTCTGTTTATTTACAGATAGGTTTATTCTCTCAAGATATTCCAAACCACAGGAGATAGTTATATTGCTCTGTAGCCTTTCTTTGTCTTTATTTTTGCTTCTAGGTTTAATGAAATATTAAAGAAGTAAATATTAAGAGACATGCTTAAGTGTAGACTGAATTTTCTTTTATACTGCCTTCTCTCTCCAGAGACAGATTCTACTTCAAATAAATGACGTATTTCCTTGTATTAAAATTTGTTTTCCTATGGTTGACTCTCTGGGTACTAGATTAGGTAATAGAAAAATTCAAATTAAAAAGTGTGTGTGTATGTATATATTATATATATATATATATATATGTATGTGTGCACATGTGTATGTGTGTAAATACATACACATATCTTTTATTTTTTCAAAAGCTATGTGTAAGTCATAGAATCTTTATTATATTCTTAGCACAGTTAATACAAGTACCTATATTCCATACTATTATTTCATATCAAATTTAGAATTTCTAAAGTTTTACTTTTCTTGGTACCTTCTAATTCTATGCCCATTGTCACAAAGATTGTTTCCTTAAATTGAATTATTTTGTTACTATTATATTTAGTGTAGCATTTGTACATAGAGATTGCCACTCTGTCTCATAAATATTATTAAACTTTACTGCTCTCTTTTTATTTTTATAGGTATATATTTTTCAATCCAGTTATGTTATAAAGTTATTATAGACAAAGATATGCTTTGTGGATTTCCCACAGACCTATATGGCACTTTAGTTTTAACTTCTAGCTACACTGCAGTGAAGTTTTCATCATCTTGAGTCTGTGCTAGCTTTGAATATGGGAAGTTAGCTTTGAATTTGAAATTATGGGAGGGGGGGCAGTTGCTTTATGATGAATCCAGGTTTTAACATTGCATTGTTAATTTAGAGACCAAGGACACCTTATATCTCAGATTAACAAAATGTTAGGTAGATTCTTGGTTCTCCCTTAAAAATTCAGAAATAAGGAATGTAGCTACCTGCTATTCCTGTAAGTTAGCATCTCCTTATGAGTTGCTTATGCACCTATAGAAACAAAAGGTCTGTAATGTCATTCCAGCAGTTACAGCGTAGCCTGCATTCTCCTAAGGGGCTGTCTACACCTTATCCAGTTCTTTAGGAAAGTGATTTCAGATCGGAGATAAAACAACTCTTCACCCTGTAGTGGTAACCAGCAGAGCATGTGGAATTTGGGGAAGAGTTTGGGGAGCTGGAATCATATTCTGGAGATGCTTTCCAAGTGGACACGTTTTGTACATCTTCAGCTCTTTCTACCCCCTTCCCCCTATTGCAGTCTCTCAATATTAAATGAGGAAAGGGTCTGAGTCTGCTGCTGTAGCATGGGGAGTGTTCCAGCACCCTTAGGTCCAAATCACACTCTATTCACCCACATCCTTCCAGGCAGTCATTTGGAAGCTTTGAGGAGACTATCTCTTCTCCATTCTCTGATGGCCCAACCTTGGGGACAGCTGTATGCAGATGGCATGCAAATACTCTTGACCTTTACTGACATTATCGATATTCCCAAACTATCCCTTTATAGTAGGAAGGAGGCGGCTGCAAATACACTCCTCATCCTGTAAATTCACTTGCCATCACTAGCTAAAGGAAAAGGGGAAAGAAAGAAAAGGAAATGGTAAACTGACGTTCCAAAACCGAAAGATAACCTGTCTCATCATACATCCCTTACTGGTCTTCTGAGTCTTTTGGAATCATAAGGAAAAAAAAAAATTGTTCCACTGAATACTTTTAACACAGGGTCAGCTAGTAATGAACATCACCAGATCCCTGTGACTCTTAATGAACAGAAGTACATATTTTGAAATAATGTGCATGATCATAATGATCCATAAAAATATTCCTTAGAATAACACAAATATATTGTCCTGTGAGCACAGTCTTTAAACACTAACATACCAAAGGAGCAAGAGGCAATACTGTGTCTGTAAGTGAGCCTAATCTTTGTGGGCAGTTAGTACCAACAGTAATTTAGTGGGATTTCATCAAACATAAGAGGGCAGACTGGATAGAACCAAAAGAAAGTCATATCACATTCTTAAAACAGATAATTATTGCCTCTTATTTAGAAACAAACATCCAAACTAAATCCTTCAATAATGCTATCAAGGGTTGTGGCATAAGAGTGGGACATGAGGGAAGAGAGGGAAATCAACATGCTCAGAAACTCAAAATTCTGAGACATTCTTGGAAAAAAATCATTCCAGAAAACATAGAGAAAGCAAAACTATTATCCCCCCCCCATAGCACTAATCAACGTCCTCAATGACTACATATATTACTGTGCATAAAACCTAAAGGTCTGATGTTTTGACTCCAACTAAAGACAGTTCAAGGAAGAATCTGTTTCTGTTTAACTTTTTTGACCATTTTTTTGAGCCACATTTTGTGAGAATGTTCGTGGATGGTAGAATCTCAGGGTTTTGGTAAGGGAAGCTCAGGCTGTGATGACACCCTGTGGGTACATCAGGTAGGTCCCCAGGCAGAGCCTAAGGGGTCTGGGAAAGTAAGACCTTTTCAAGGTGGAGCAATTCTCATGTTCTTATGAGCCCCTGAATAATGTCCATTTTAAATAGTGATGCCTTAGATCCCGGAGTTGGCAACCTATGGCCTGTGGGCCAAATTTGGCCATAGCCTGTGTTTATAAGTAGTTCTTTTTGGAGTATAGCCACACCCATTTGCTTACTATCGTTTATGGCTTCTTTTATGCCAAAAGGGCAGAATTAAGTAGTTGTGACAGAGACTGTCTGGTCCTCAAAGTCTTAAGTATTTACCGTCTGGCTTTTTAGAGAAAAATGTTTGCCAGTCCCTACCCTACATGACATGATTTATTCTTTGATTTAAGCATGGTAGAGTTTCAAAAAACATTTTTTTTTAGTTTCACACAAAAGCCATAATTGAAGAAAATAAAAGATATTTTTTAAAAGCCAAATTCAGTTTGTCATTACATCAGAAGCCAAGAAATAAAATAAAAGAAGCACAATACACATCATTCTTCTGATCATGCGATTCAGTACGTCTCATACAGCAGAATAGTCAGGCCGTTGATATTACACTTGGACAATGATTTCCAAATTTTTGCATAGGAAACATGACAAAGGACACCTTAATAAGTGGCCAAGAAGCACCTAAGCAGCCCATTTATTAAACACCTTCAGTAGCTCTTAAAGACACAGGAAAACAAGGATATCCATCGTTTCCATTTTCATCTCCTTAAATATTTAGCTTTTTCTTGCATTAATGAACACTGAAAAGGTGCACATTTACATTTTTGATTGAGGGTAAAATGCAATAAGGAGATTTAATCAAAGCAACTTAAGGGTCTAATTAATGCAATCAGCGTTAGGTCGTGCAAATATTGTCATTGAATGCCATCGTGTAAAGCTGGTGATAGTGATTTGGGCGGCTGGAAGATTTGCCCCTCTGTTACCAGGATAAAACCAGGAGGGGAGAGACAGAAACTGAATGCCAAGTACAGAGTTGGAGTCTTCTTTCCATGTTCAGCTTTTCTTATGAGTCATTTAATAACCCTATCAAAACTATCCTGGTTGGGTAAAATTCTTAATGCACTACATACTGTCAAAGCCCCAAAAGTCTCGTTTCTGGACAAGGCTGTGTCAGAATAATATTAAAACGTGTAGTGGAGTTGCATTATGTCTGACTTGCCAGTGGAAAGGAGTGGTAAGAGGTAAATTATTCTTTTATAACATTAAGGACACCAAAAAGTACAGTAATTTGTTAAACACAATCCTGGTAGCCTAAAAGAGAGAATTCATAAACACAGGGGAACACTATTTTTTACTTCTCAATGGCATTATGCTCATTATTTCACTTCTTGAGTGTTTCTAGGACATCGGCCACCATAGTAGTATAGTCACGCTCAACTATAGTTTATTTCGATCTCATTCAATAATATGACTGTATACTTTACATAGTACTGAAAATTTGAACCAGCCAATTGACTTAGGACTTAAATTGTATGGGGGCCAAGAAAATGTTTTACCCAAAATGTAATCTCCACACAATAGCCTAGCACTGTAAGCCTACTTATCTAATAGGCTGTGTCACAGGCAACAACACCATCTTGACATTGATAAGGAATCTTGGTGGATTTTACAGTATCTGAGATCTTTTTCATGTATGTGAAACATGTCTGCACTTAGAGTGTGATGGTTTTTTATTAGTTTTTTTTTTTTTTTTAATTTTATTTATTTATGGTTGTGTTGGGTCTTCGTTTCTGTGCGAGGGCTTTCTCTAGTTGTGGCAAGTGGGGGCCACTCTTCATCGCTGTGCGCGGGCCTCTCACTATTGCGGCCTCTCTTGTTGCGGAGCACAGGCTCCGGATGCGCAGGCTCAGTAACTGTGGCTCACGGGCCCAGTTGCTCCACGGCATGTGGGATTTTCCCAGACCAGGGTTCAAACCCGTGTCCCCTGCATTGGTAGGCAGATTCTCAACCACTGCGCCACCAGGGAAGCCCTTTTATTAGTTTTTTATGTTTATTTATTTATTTTTTTTGGAAAAGCCATGCATGTGATGTAATTGCTTTGGACTTGGAACAACTTTCTATTGCCACCAAACTGTGTGTGTGTGTGTGTGTGTGTGTGTGTGTGTGTGTTCATTGTAAGGTCAGCTCCTTGGCGTATATCTTAAATCAGCGGTCCCCAACCTTTTTGGCGCCAGGGACCAGTTTCGTGGAAGACAATTTTTCCATGGAGCGGGGGCGGGGCGGGGGGGAGGGGGATGGTTGGGTGGTTCAGGTGGTAATGCGGGCGATGGGGAGCGGCAGATGAAGCTTCGCTCCCTAGCCCGCCACTCACCTCCTGCAGTGCGGACCGGTTCCTAACAGGCCTCGGACCGGTAACAGTGTGGGGGCGGGGGGGGGGTTGGGGACCCCTGTCTTAAATGTAGCATGTCTGAGGCTTGATTATGTTAAAACTTCCTATTATATGAAAAATATCTCCCAAACTTTGAAATTTGTATTTCTGAAACATTGGAGATGCAAATATTTAAATATCCTTAACTGTAAACCATGCTTAATACTGATAATTCTACCTAAATCTAACCGAACATCACGTGTTTCCAAAATTTCTCTGGCATGATGGATAAAAGATTATTGAATTTTAAATAAATAACTAATTGTTTTCTAGAGGTGAATGAACTTGGAAATTGGCACTCAGTAAATGTCCTACAAATATACAACAGTACTCTTTGATCGCATATCCCATTCCTTCACACGATGGCTTCAGTGCTCAGTCCCACTCACCATTGTAGTTTCTGCTATTGACCCAAAGCTGTTGATAAATATGTTGCAGGTAACATTTACAGGAGGCCCTGCAAGTTGAACAATAAATAGAAAATTTGACAGGTTGTGTTCATGGCATAATCAAGTCACGTTTTTCTCTTGCCAGTGGCGTTGTAGCACTTACCATGGTGGTTTCTGTGACTGATCCAAAACTGTTGATAAAAATATTGCAAGTAACGTTTACTGGAGGACCTGCAGAACGCAATAAGAATGTTGCAATAGACACTGAAGCAAAAATACAGCTCCATCAACATCTGTGCAAATGACTAGAGATGTAAACAAAATTAAAATGATGGTGAGATTGCAAAAAAAAAAAAGTTTTACCCAGAGAGGTTAACAGTGATAGCATTCCCACTAGCATTTCCAATAATGACAGTTATGCAGTAACTTACCCTGAAGAGTTTTGGATTTGGAAAATATAAGCTGAAGACTATTAAACGGAATTCATTGTCAATAGTTGCTATCAAAATTGCCTTTTGGGTGGGTGGCTTTCTTTGACCTTAGGCTCATCAACATTGTAGATGTCAACAGTAGGCGCCCATGGTGATGAAATAGCCCACGTTTATGAGTTCAAATGGAGCTGCGTTTTGAACTGTGGATGGGTCAGGAATATCCACCTCCTTTCATGTGATACCCTTTAAATCAGTGGATCTAGTTTGATTCTCTTGATACCTCTGAATTTACCCTATTCCTTCTTTATATCCTGTGACCCCCCCCAATGAAAAATGATGCACAGAAATACAAAATCAAAGAAAATTAGCTCATTTTAAGAACCAAACACAGCAGTGTCACTTAATGTCCAGATTGTCGCCTCAGTAAATATACTGTAAAGAAAGATTTATTAATCCTAAATGTGCTATAAACAAAGAGCCTACTTTTTCCTCCAGAGACAGAGGGACTAACTCTCTTTCCTCTTGCCCTTTGTCTCTCATCCAAGCACTAACCAGGCCTGACTCTGCTTAGCTTCAGAGGTCAGGTATAATCAGGCTTGTTCAAGGGGTATGGCCACAGACTCTTTGCCCTTTGACAACAGATAAATCACTTCCTGATGACTTCCGGTTTCATGTTATGCTGAGCAATATGTTTATTGCCCTCATGTAGTTTCCCCATAATGCTTTCTGAGATAAGAAATGGCTCATACTGCCATGAACTGTCTATTCACTCACTGCTTTCCCCTGTGGAAATTTGTCTCTTTTCACTTGACAAAGGCTCAGCAACCTGGTGCAAGGTATACCCCAGTTGGCTCAGTACCCAACAAGCCAGTAGGATCTGAATGAGGAGGAGTTTGACTTGAGGCCTCCCTCAAAGGCTGGTAGTAAAACACAGCTGTGGCCACACTTGAGCGCCATGTTTTTACTTGTACAAGTCCACGTTGAGTTCTCAAAATGAGGAAAGGAAAAGGACTCAACAGCTAATGTACTCCCCCAGGCAAGGACTTTTGGTAAAAGAAGGAGCAAGGAGTTTGGGTAAAAGAGATGTATTGAGCTGTTTTTCTTTTTAACATAACTAACTTTTCTGTTTTTAATGAAAAAACAATGTGTTTATTTTTAAAGAAGTGTTTGCAGGAGTGGAATCATAGGCACCACCATATTACCAAAGCATTTTCAGCCTGCACCTTTGAAATGTTCCATCTTTTAGTTCATCCCTCTGTTTTTCAGCATCTGCCAGCTTGACTTCCTCTCCATGGTCACTTCCTACTCTACTCGATTTTGTTTTTCTGCTTCGGTTACTCAAAACAAACAAAACAAAGCAAAACGAAAACCAAAAACAGTCTCTTTCTTGGCCATAGAATTTTATTCTATAACAAATATATTCTTCTGCTAATAAGAAATACATTAGACAAGGTAGAGGCACGTCATGAGAAATTATGTATCTTTGCTTTTTTTTTCCTCTCTTCACAAGAAAATATTTCCTTTTAGATGGTCCAATTCAGGATGGAAAACTTTCATGAATTTCTATATGCCAGGTAGAAAATGGATGATGTGGGAAAAGAAACAGGAAAGAGAAATGTCATCTTAACAGGAAGAATTTGAAAATCCAAATGTAGTTTGTCTCGTACTGTACATTATCTAATTGTCTGGACTCCCCACCTGGCTTGAAACCAATTAGAAGGCTGGGTCCTACCATCATATATCTGTTTCTAACGTTCCCAGTAAATGACAGTGTGAGTATATTGCTAGAATTCAAAATATTTTTTAAGCCACCACATATTGACACACTGTACTATAAGCACATTAAAAAAATTACCTAGTTTAATCCTCACAAAAGAGGAATTGTTTTACTGCTCCAATAAATATTTTCAGATGAGGAAACTGGGAGTTAGAGAGGTTAAGTGACTTGCTTAAAGTCATGCCACAGTAATTAGAGAAGCTGAGACTCAATGTCTCATCATTCTGATTCCAAAAACCTAAACTTTAAACCCCTTTGCTGCACTGGATTCATTGCATAATATCCTCTGACCTGCCAACCATGGTATTTCCCATTGGTTTGTACATTTCTGGGATAATTTAATCCTTCACATCTGATCGCTTCAATCTTGGGCATTGCCTTAAGGTTCATTTGCATTTGGGTATAAAACCCTAGTAACTTCTTTTTGATAAGGGATTAGCACATGCGTATAATAAGAGCCCACATACATTAAAACCTCGCTGCATGCCAATGAGTGCCTTATTTCATTCTTCAGTAATTACATGCTTCCATGTCCCCCATTTTACGGATGAGGAAACTGAGGCATAAAGGAAATTCATTAATTTTCCCAAGGCCGCAGAGTTTGTAAGAGGCAGAAACTGCCTAACTTTAGGGACACCTTTTTAAACTACAGGGATAAAATGCCTGAGGCCAATAGACTCATTCTAAGGATAGAAGTTACCTAAATATGGGAATATGCCTGCAAGTTTTTCGGGTTGAATGATAGAATCATTTTTCACTTTTAAGAGTTATCCTGACATGTGCCAGCACAACCTTTCCTCTGTTTTAGCCCAATAATCTGCTAAGGTGTTCTAATTAACAAGAACACATTCTTAGATGTGATCACCAGCGAATGAATGTGTTCTATAAACTGCAGAAAGAGTTAACACTAGTTAACCTCATCTAATTGGTTTATCAGCAAAGATATTCCAAAGTGAATTGGATGAGAATTTGACTGGGAAGAAGAATTATGTAGACGTCTAATCTCTCATATCCCTATCCTCCCCTCCCTCCCTTCCTTCCTTGTCTCCTCTCTCCCATCTACCCTCTCTCCCTCCCTCTTTTCCTTTCTTTCTCACTCTCTTCCTTTATTTTTTGCCTTATTCTTATGAGAAAGAACAACCTTGCCATAACTCAAGTATAAATTGAAGTAAAAAATATATTTAGAATACTTCATAGGGATTTGGAAAGATGGCTCCCCTCCCTGACCCCCAGCACAAGGTATAACAAGCCTCATCCCATACTGATCCTCTTTGTTGCTAAATATCTCTCTCAGACTGTCTTCTTTGGAGTAAGGCATTTGTTTTGGTAACCCAAGTAAAATTACAGTTATGCTACTTGAGAGGGATAATAGAGTTATTGATTATTGCTCGTTAACATCTTCAGTTTTGGGTCAATTGATCAAATTCGCTGTAAGAGGGAATAGGATCACTGTGAATAGTGCATCCTAACTATTGTGTCCCCTGCTACTCACACCAGAGTTGGAAGATCAGCAGAATTAGCACCACCTGGGACCTTGTTGGTCCCAGAAACTCAGGCCCCATTCAAGTCCTGCTGAAGTGGTCTTCACTTTAACAAAGGGGATTTGTTCCTGCAGATCAATTTTTTCTCCCTTTCAAGATCAAAATCATTTCTTTGTTTCGTTCAGTCTTTCATGAGTGTTCCTTGAAATGTCAACTCTAGTCCATTAATAAAACTTCTTAGGTCAAACCCAAAGTTGTGCAACCATCACCATTATCTATTTGTAAAACTTTTCCATCACTTCAAACAGAAACTTTGTAACCATTAAGCAATAGTGCCCTATACTTCTCTCTGTCCAGCCCCCCGGCAACTTTTAATCTACTCTGTGTCTCTATAAATTTGTCTATTCAAGATATTTCATATAAGTAGAATCATACAATATTTGTCCTTTGTGTCTGGCTTCTTTCACTTAACATAATGATTTCAGGGTTCATCCATGTTGTAGCATGTATCAGAACTTCTTTTTTTATGGCTCAGTAATAATCCATTGTATGTATATACTACATTTAAATATTTTTCTGTTGGTGGACACTTGGGCTGTTTTCAACTTTTGGCTATTGTCAGTAATGCTGCAATGAATTGTTTGAGTTTCTGCTTTCAATTCTTTTGAGTATATACCTAGGAGTGAAATTGCTGGGTCATATGGTAATTCTATGTTTAACTTTTTAAGGAACTGCCATGCTGTTTTCCACATTGGCTACACCATTTTACATTGCCACAAGTAATGTATAAGACTTTTAATTTTTCCACATCTTAACCAGTGCTTACTTTCCATTTTTTGATAATTGGTATCCTAGTAGGTGTGAAGTGGCTTTGAATTTCATTTCCCTAACGACCGATGACATTGAGCATCTTTTCATGTGATTATTTGCTATCTTCTTTGGAGAAAAGTCTATTTTTGTATTGGGTGGGTTGTCTTTCTGTTGCTGAATTGCAGGAGTTCTTTATATGTTCTGGATATTAAACCCTTATCAAACATGTAATTTGTAAATATTTTCTCGCATTCTGTAGATTGTCTCTACTCTTTCCTTGTAATGTCGTTTGATACCCAAAAGTTTTTAGTTTTGATGAAGCCCAACTTATTACCTATTTTTTCTTTTGTTGCTCATGCTTTGGTGTCATCAAAAACAAACATTCAGTTGCCAAATCCTTGGTCATAAAAATTGACTCCTGTTTTCTTTTAAGAGATTTATGGCTTGAGGCCCTATATTTAAGCCGTTGATTTATTTTGAGATAATTTTTGTATATGATGTGAGATAGAGGTCCAATTTCATTCTTTTGCACGTAGAAATCCAGGTGTCCCAGCCCCATTTGTTGACGACTGGTATTTCCCTCACTGAATGAACTTGCTACCCTTGTCAAAATCAATTGGCTATAGATGTATGGACTCTCAGTTCTATTCCATTGGATAGAACTGATGTTTATGCTGATGTAAGTACCACACTGTTTTGATCACTGTAGCTTTGCCGTAATTTTTGAAATCA